AGCAATCCACTGGCCTCAACCTCCCAGAGTGCTAGGATTACAGGCACGAGTCACCGGGCCGGGCAGGGATTCCTAAATTTCTATATTCATAAAATCACCTTTTCAAAGTCTAAAGATAGTTTCTGTGATATCGTCTAGGCCTCCAATTCCAGTGGGTTGGCTGAGCCACTTAGACCAGTGGCCCATACCAAGAAACTGACTTCCCAGAATCCTGATACCTAGCCAATTAGCAAACCCAATTTCCTGTCTCCCACATTCTTAGGAAAGCAGATTTGAGAAATTCCTCCCATCTCCCCACTTAGCACTCTGGAAAATTAAAGCCTCTCTCTGTTGCAACTCTGTCTTTGTATATTGGGTCTTCTTTGTGCAGGAGGCAATACAAACTTGACTTCCCAACAGTAAAATGAGATTGAACTACACCCACTTCATAGGGGTTGCGAGGGTTATATAAATTGGGACATGTAATTTTCCCAGCACCCACTAAGTGCTCAGGCAGCACACACATCTGTGGATGTGTAGCAGGCAGAGCAGGCAGAGATGATGTTGGGGCTGATGGCTGAGTGTGCCCAGCAAATGCAGCTGGAATGAGGGGAGAAGCCTGTTCCTGAAGGAGGGAAGTCCCAAGGAAAAAAACAGGGTGTGCTGGTGAACAAGAGGGTAAGTCGTGAGGAATAAAAACAGTTGTAATTGATATGAAGCATGGCACCAACCCAGTTTACCGGGCACTGTGGGGGCACCATCAAGGTTTGTTTGTTTTATTGAATGGTAACTATGTACATTAATGCACTTCTAGGGTACAGTGTGGGGTTTTCACATGCAATCCGAAATATTTCCATCAAGGTTTTTTTGTTTTATTGAATGGTAACTATGTACATTAATGCACTTCTAGGGTACAGTGTGGGGTTTTCACATGCAATCCGAAATATTTCCATCAAACTGGTCAACAGAGCCTTCATGTCATTTTCTCAGTTATTGTTTTAAAACATTCACATTCTACTCTTAGATTCACTTGTACCCCTGTAAGATAAACCTCAGAAGTGATCCCTCCAAT